AATATTATCAGTTGTACAGACCTAAACTACCATTTGTTTTAAAGACCATTCATTAATCAACATTGCTGCCTTAAATTTGTCAAACTGAATGTCATAACTTGTATGAAAATTTATTTTTTGTAAAATAAAAAGTTTTTAAAATTTATATATTTTTTAAAATTTTCATTAAAATTTAATATATCAATATTTTTTAATTTCAAGACTATTTTCAGACAGGCCTTATCAAGTATTACAATTAGGTTTTTACTGCATTGAAAAATTCCTATAATTAAGGAAGATATAGCAAATTTAGTTTTGGTTTCTTAAGAACAATTGGACCTCAAATTGCACCCTATAGAACACCAGCACTACACACATTCTGACAGCTGTCACATGTCTTGCTTGCAAGGAAATTTCAAAAGACTGTATGGGTGAAGTTGAAACAGTAGTGGCATGCAAAATAAAATGCAAATATAAAAGTTTGACAAAAACATTGACCCTTTCTGGAATCAGTACACAATTAATAAAATCCGGTTCAGTACCCACGAATGTAGTCCCAGTCTATTTTTAGATCACTTTTTTCCGGTCTAAATTTTGTGGTGATACTAGAGTTAGATTTTGGCATTCTTGGTAAGGATTTAAAGGCAATTGATTATTCTTTAAAATGTGATCTTATGGTGTGGTTGTCTGTGTGTATTTCGGCGACAGTGCACATTGAGTAATAAGGTCATGGTGAGATCCGGAAGTGAAATCTGTGTTCCGTTGCCTGGTGTTTTGTTTACAATTCAGCCTCTCAAAAAAATGCAGGTCAACCCTTGACAAGAACTAAACCGTAAAGTCATCTTTGAAGGTATTTTAGATTAACATATGATTTGTATTGATTGTCACACAGTGGAAAGTTCAGTACTGAGGAACAAATGTAGAGACCATATAGTAAAATTAATTGTGTACTATGGCCGTTTACATCGCTGGAGTAAAATAAATATCCCATAATAGTTCAAGCTTGGTGACTTTTCAACGCTCAGTCCATTTATTGTCGAGGATAAAATCACTCCCTGCGTTTAAATGAACCAGATCTACGTATAAACGGTCTAATACTTAATATATAATTGCCATCGTAATGGTACCCTCCTGAATGCCGTATTAAGTACGGCCCTAAGGGTGTATTTGTAGATATATAGCTTAAGTGTCCCGGACCCCTCCAAACCTTAATCCGCCCCTGCTCCTAGCTAAGCGGTCATGAAGTACGTGAGACCTAATCCTTACACCGATTCACCTACAATTGTTACTATTATTAGAACTGATATTTCTTTTAATTGACTGTTCTTTATGTATGGACAAGTTAAATTAATACATCTAAAAATGATAATGGCAAAGAACTATGCTTTTTTTACCTGAAATTTAAAAATTGCATTATTCATATACCATAGTTCATTCTTAAGACTGAACTCATAGCTGATAATAGGCCTATTTCAATTTTCTAGCACGTCCTTGTTCATTCGAGAGACTATATGTGAATGACGTCAGATTGTCGTGACCCTATAAATTTTAGTATGTTACCTAAACACTAGTATTATACTAAAACAACGAATGAATGATAATGTCTCCATTCATTTGACCTTTTATTTTAACATATATTAAGAGGTAGTCCACAAGAAACAAATATACAGTGCAGTTGCGGATCCGAGGCAGGGGAGTCATGTACCCCAGTTTGCTTTGGTTAAATGCATGAGCACGATACATGCACACCAGAATGGATATTTGGGGTGGAATCGTCCTTTGTAAACATTCAACTTAGTGTTCAAAAGGACAGATTATTCGAATATAACTATACATCAAACGTACCAACGGTTTCAATAAATATATAAACGAAGAAAGATTACAAAGTCATCGCTGCTTTAATTTTCTTTTTTTTTTACAAATCATCCACATGATCAGTGAAAGTGCTACATTGTTTCTTCACACTGATTTCTACCAGCTTCTTTGGACATCGTTTTAAGGGGAGGGTAGACGGAACAAGGGATGAGAAAAGGCCGCAATAAAATAAAAAAAGAGCTGTTGTCTACGAGACACATTCATCAGCATGGTATCTTTAGCAGCTATTAAGGTCGGTCGTCTAATGCAAGGTGACAACGGGCGATAGAGTGGCAACCAACAAAGCCCTGTCATCGCCCAATGAAATACGAGTTTCCGATAACAAACAATATAGCCACTGATTACTTCATGAAAAGAAATTAAACGAAGAAATCAAAGTCTAATTTGCTTCTCAATGGACATATCAACTCGTCCTCTCCTTTTTAATCAAATTTGAGCGCCTTTACTGATAAAATTAGGAATATTTACCGCAAATAAATCCAATAAAATGGCCATTCCGCCCATGATTTCTTTGCTTAAAAGGCTATCAATTTGAATAAATGTCACTAGAATAAATTGGCACTGGAATCTGTGTTTCATTTTGGCAATTTAGAACAATATCTTTCTTTCGCACATAATCTTAAAGTTCAGGTTTGGTCCAAGCTTTCGAATGTTTTCTTTGTTTTCAAAGGAACAAGTAGAGTCGTGACGATAATTTTCTCATCCTAGTGTCAACATAGCTTCTTGCATAATACACATTATGTTTAATTAATATATCGATAGCAAAAATGGGAAAATATTTGTAGCTGTCAATTTGAATGGTACACTTTGTTTATGCTACATAAAAACAATCAATTGCCGTAATGCCGCAAACTTTGTAATAATACTCGTTCTTTTATTTCTGACATTACTCTCACGTTTCTCTGTCTAACTGAATTATATTTGTTCTTCGTTGCAAGTGATTGTGATTAAAAATAATAACATGATTTAGTCTCCCCTGTACACACACACACAAACACACACACACACACTCTCTCTCTCTCTCTCTCTCTCTCTCTCTCTCTCTCTCTCTCTCTCTCTCTCTCTCTCTCTCTCTCTCTCTCTCTCTCACTCACACACACACTATTATGTATATCTATATTTTTTGTAACTCCTGGTAAATGATTTGGGGGGGGTTTGCAATTTTTATTAATTGCTGTAAGCTGTAGTGATTATACAAAGCTGGATCTCGTCGGTGAATAGGTTAGGGTCTATTCTGAGATATCAACGAAAGCAAAATTGCGCAGGATCTCTAAATAGATGTTTAAGTATGTGTGGACAGCTACTAATAATAAGATTATTATTAGTAAATATGCTTTTTCCCCAATGAACACGTAGTATCTTAGAAGAATTAAGTTAATTCTAATTGGATGTGTTATGTCCTATGAGAAGTATTAGACTGTGTAGTAAGATATGGCACGTGGGGTATATTGCGATATATAGTCCGAATAGACTCTTGAAGGTGTACTGAACTGAGCAATTATATTTATTCCAGTTCTAGAGCCATTCTTATTTCTTGTTTTTCCCGTTGTAACGTTAAGTCTGCAGACAAGTTATATGTTGTACTTAGATATTATTTAAGAAGAAATACATTTGTTAGAATTATTCAGTGGAAATATGATTCTGGAATTATTGTGAATTGTTCAAGGGAGTTCTGGACAAGGTCATTTCGACAGCTTCACGATTCTTTGCGGACAGGTATATTTCCGGTTCAAAAATTTATAAGAATATTTCTTTTTTTTTTAACTTTAATAGAACTTTTCAGGGTTATTTTGAATGCACTACTTAATATAGTAAGTTCATCTCAGATTTTAATGTAATTTTTTTTTATCATTAAAATATTTGTTAAATTTTACAAATCTTCATGGCTATGAAGCTCTGATTCATTCTGTTATTTAGTTTATGATCAAAGAGCCGTAACACACACACACACACACACACACACACACACACACACACAAACAAGCGCGCGCGTTTCATGTCGTTAAACCATTTAGAGCACGCAATTTGAATTGGACTATACTGCAACGAGTTAGTTCAAAACGTGATTTGAATAAATGCTCCAGCTTTAGTAAACACCTAAAATGTTCATTACATTTTTGAATATAGTAATCTTTCTGATTGTTTGATTTGTATCAGTGAATTTTTCGCAGACCATTCAGCAGACATCGAAAACTAAAATACCACAGAAAATCTAGAAATCGTGCAAAGGAGTCTTAACTTGAATTTTTAGGATTTAGCCAATATTAAAATGATATGAACCTTTTAAAAAATATAGAGATATTTTCATCCCTTTTATTGTCTTGAGTCAAAAATCCCAATATTATCAAAAGTATCATTTACAAAATAATATAAAATTTCAATTTCAAGATAAAACTTGTGAAAATTTTAATTTAGGTAGTATGAAAATGGCTTTAATATTACCAAGCCCGTGGTTCCTAATATCTTGGTAACGCCACAATGAATCCATCACGTGTGATCACTAACAGCAACGCAAGTAATAGGTGTAATGCAATTAAAACCAAATGATTCCTAACATATTTCTTTTTTTTTTACAAAGTAGCAGGAATATTATTGAAATTAAATGTGTGGGTAAATTCACTGATTGCTGAAACGTCGCCGAGTGCTGGTTCTCAAGTCCTATCATGTTATAAACTGTTCTCCGTACATCATCTAGCTGGATGTTTGTCAACCAAAATCTAACCAATTTGGGACGTATCACTACGTTTACCTCCAAAATTTTTTTCTTAGTATCTCAACTCTTTTCGGGAAAAGATATGTTCCTAATGGAAATTCGTAAAGAAAAAGTATTTCCGATGTTTCTTCACTAGTTTTACTGGGTATTAAAAAAAACTTGTACTTCTTATGTAGTATTGTGATGCGTGATGTGATGTGATTTTGATTTTTAAGGTAGCTTTAAACAAAAAATTTCAGTCATATCGCTACGATGTCTGCAGTGTGGCAGTTTATAGTGATATCTAACACTGGGGCATCATGCCACAGACATGTAGCATGATGTCCCACCCAGTCACATTATCCTGACACCAGGCCGACCAGCCCTAACACTAACCTCATAACGCTGAGCATCAAGCGAGGCAGCTGTTAGTACCATTTTTGTACGACTTTGGTATGTCTCGACAGGGGATAGAACCCTCAACCTCCCGCATCTGAGGCGGACGCTCTAACCACTAGGCCGCTTGAGTATGTAGTATTGAAAGAACTTTTACACTCTTTTAATTTGGCGCATGTTAAATGGGTGTTCTTTGGGTGACAGAATATACAGTTTAGTTTAAGTTCAAATATGCACCTACTCATAAATCACTAGCTGGTCACATTCACTTCTTGGATTTCATTGGTAAGCTGTAAAAAAAAACAGCAAAAAGAAACAAAAACAAAAACAAACAAACAAAATGGGCTAATAACTTTTTTTTTACATTTTTGTATTTTCTGTAATTCGTTCATTGCACTTTCAGAAGCGGACATTTTGCTAGTTTTCGTTTTAATAACGCCTACGGATAGCGTACTTTCGACTAATTCAGTCTGATTTTTCGAGCACATTTGAGCAGCCATTTTGGTTAGCGCTTGGCTAAGATTATATACAATTTTAACAGGTACAATATCCAACGAAATTTCAGCCACGTTATACGAATGAAACTTAGTAGTATATCAACATTCTCTCCATTGTGTTTGATGTGAATGCAAACTTCACCTTACACCTGTCACTCTCACAGAAGTTCGTATTAGTTGTAGAGCTCTACAGTGGCGACAGTTCACTTTGGCACTGTGAATGTGTATTCCCATATTCGCAAAATCGGCCCAAAAAGGACCACATAGGTATTACCAATGTATGATTTAATTTTTGTTGTAAAGCTGAAACTGTTATGATGGAAGAATAAAAACAATGATTTTAATGATTCTTGTCGGTTTTTTTCCCCCAACAGAACAGTATTATTAGCATCATATTCCCATCCCACTCCCCCCAATTTACAGCACGATGAAAAAAGTGAACTATTTTAAGAATGCACACTGCTTATTCTCAACATAACAAACAACGTTATACTAAAAGATTGGAACCGGAAACTTGCCAATACTTCCTGAGATGTTAACATTCAGTATTACAGTTTGACTAGAGATGGAACAGATAATTCCACGGAGGTCAGCTGTCAAAGGGTAAAAATGTTAGCTTATTTTTCTCACACTAATAAATAAAAGAATGCTTTTCTTTTTTGTCATAATTATTTCCATGACTTCATTACAAATGAATGAAAAGAAACATTTTCACTTTTTTTATTCACTTAATGCAACAACTTTAAACTGAAGCAAAATATTCTCCTGTATTATAGTTTCCCTGTAATCATTATGAATGTCATCCCACATACAATACTGACACAACACAAGGTACGTTGTGCAAGAAAGAGCAAAATAAACATAATTAGTTTATTATAATGCATAACGTCAGTGTTAGTGTACCGTTTTGTTGAGAACATCATTCATGATGATATGAAAAGAAGGAAAAATGCACAAACTTTCAGATTGTTTTAAATTTGGAATTCAACAATTTCGTAGTTTGCATAAGGTTGGAATTTTAAAGAAAAAGAATTTCCACGGTGTTTGTCGTTGGTTTCATTGGCTATTTATAAAGACATTGTATTTCTTGCGTATTATTAAATGAACTTAAAATGCCTTTATTTTGGTGCATGGCTGGTGGGTGTTGTTCAGCTAGGCCTTACTTTTGATGTGCACCTATTAAAGAAAACTGCTCGCTCCCTTGGTCATTTTAACTTTATTGACTTCAGCGTCCAATTGAGAAAGAAAAAAAGAGCCAATGACTATTTTACTTTTTATATATATTTTACTACATTCATTGCACCATCAGATGCTGGTATTGTCTAGTCTTGCAAAATTAGTTTTCCCTATTTTTATAACTGTTAAAGATAGTGGACGTCCGCGTCCAATTGTGAAAGAAAAAATAGCCAATAACTATTTTATTTCTTATATATTTTTTACTTCATTCATTGCACCATCAGATGCTGGTATTGTCTAGTCTGGCAAAATTCGTTTTCATTATTTTTATAACTGCTAAAGATAATGTACTAATTCAGGCTGATTTTTAGAGAACATGGGAGCGGCCATTTTGATTAGCTGTGTAATTAGATTATGTACAATTTCCAGCAGCACAATACACTAAGAAATTTCAGCCTTAGTACATTACATTAGATTAGAGGTATGACAACATTATCTCCATTATGCATGATGTAAATGCCAATATTCCCCTTTTCTGTGTGTATTTAATATGTCCAGCCTGTGCAAATTTGATGAATTCTGAAGAAAAAAAGAAGAATAAAACTCATTTAGCTATTTTTTTGAGAAATTAGTTGGATGGTCTTTCTACCATATATAATTTTGTCGTGACCCTTACTTGATATTTAATCAGCTGAGAGTAGCGTACGAATTTCCTTGATTTAGGATTGTTTGGAACTTTGTTTTATACGGTGAGAAATAACTCCCAAAATAAACACATTTCCTGGTTGTATTATTGCATTATATATATATATATATATATATATATATATATATATATATATATATATATATATATAGAGAGAGAGAGAGAGAGAGAGAGAGAGAGAGAGAGAGAGAGAGAGAGAGAGAGAGAGAGAGAGAGAGAGAGAGAGAGAGAGAGAGAGCTGCCCGATTAGATGACTATAGTCAAACTCAGTGACTGATTTATCATGTGTATATTGTTCAACCATACTACAAATGCTCCAATGGCCTATTTCAGCGTCTGCCTCGGATGCGGGAGGTTATGGGTTCAAACCCGGCCGAGTCATACTAAAGACTTTAAAAATGGTACTAACAGCTGCCTCGTTTGGCGATGAGCATTATGAAGAGGTGTTAGGACTGGTCGGCCGGATGTCAGGATAATGTGACTGGGTGGGACTTCATGCCACATGTCTGCGGCATGATGCCCCATTGCTAGACATTACTATAAACTGTCACACTGCAGACATTGTAGCGATATGACTGAAACTATTTTAAAGCTACCTTAAACATCTAAGTCACTTACTCCTATCAACCGTATTACCGTATGTATTCAAGTATACGTCGAGTCAAACTATAAACTGCACCAACACATACATGCCGTCACATCCTCCAGCTGACCTGACTTATAAGCGAATAATGACGAACATCATTTTTCAACCTAGATCGTGTTATGGTATAAAAACCTTCTAAATCTAAGAAATGTAACAATTTAATATTTGTTACCACCTTTCTCTTTTTATATGTGAATACCAGAGATAGGGAAAAGATTTTAGAATAAGCAATGAAAATCGTGGAGACAAGCAGAGAAAGCATCTGAATATACAGTGAAAAGTTTGGGAATTTTGCATAGTCTGGTTCCCTGCTTAGTAAGCTCCATGCCTTGCCCTCATTTAAACTGGACTTACCTTTAAATTATCACAGATTTTATGGGTTGTCCTCCTACGAAACAAAGGCTAATTTTCCCAAAGTTTAAAATGGGGGTATTATTTTATAGTCTAATGAGACACATTTTCAATCTAATGGATGTTTAAATTCTAAATACTATGCATCCATACCTATGGAAAAAATAAATATAGATTTCGAAAAGATAAGAGCGAAAATTCGCTATGTTACTTTAAAAAAATGTTCAGCTCTAATATAAAGACCAGCACTGATACGAAGATCAAGCAATAAATTTGCTGATTCCAATTGTTCCTCTAGAATTACAACCGCTGATGCCCTGCATCACTGGAAAACAGCAGACGCCTTCATCGAATGATGAACGTTTCTAATAGCTGCCATTCTAGGTTAATTTGCAGAGAGATGGAATGTAAATACACAGAAGGCGCGAATTGATGTGAGAGGGTATTTGCCCTCGAAAATCTATCATCATGCTTTGATGACTTTTAATTTTGCCAATTGAAAGGATCAGAACATGGCAGTTAATATTGCAAGTCTTCATCATCGGCCTGTCGGCAGACGATGATGATGAATGTCTCCCGCCAGTCAAGTTTGATCCGCCATATTGTTATTATTTTTTTTAGGGGTAGCACTTCTTGCATGAAAGGCACCGGTACTAATTCAATTCGTATAGCAAACCTATGAAAACACCATAATATTGAAAATTTAATAACGTTCGATTTCCAAAACCTCATGAACAAACCCTGTCTCACAGGATAGAAATCATCTTTAATGCATGCTATTTATTGTCTTGAAAAAAAAAAACTTGTGATCAGCGGCATCTTTTTGAACTATAATATACTTGAAACATTTATTAACCATTCGGATAGTACAGAATAAACCACGGTCTTGATTATTGCCGACTGTAAAAAAGATGGTAAGAAAAAACTGACATTACATCAGTAGAGTCTCTCCTCCATCTCATTAAGTTACTGATAATAGCAAATTTGAAAAGATATTATTACGTAATTATGCTTCTCATTATTACTTATCAGTGTTCCCAAAACATGTGCATCCTCTTTTTATGTTAAGGCATTTTAAGACTGATTCTAATCGTTTTGTGCAATTTGATTGAGCCCTTAAAGCATGACAACGTGCCGTTCCTATTCAAGACACCAAAACCTTCAGATTACGGATTTCAGCCAATGTAATTTTATTTATTTAAATATCTGTATCTGAGTCTTTAACATAATACTGCCATCCTTTGGGTCGAATTCGAGGACACTCCAGTTGTGAGTGTATTCGTTTGAGATCTTGAAATTGGGGTCGAATTCGAGGACACTCCAGTTGTGAGTGTATTCGTTTAAGATCTTGAAATTGTTGTCGAATTTGAGGACACGATCCAGCTGTGAGTGTATTTGTCTGAGATCTTGAAATTGGGGTCGAATTCGAGGACACGATCCAGTTGTGAGTGTATTCGTTTGAGATCTTGAAATTGGGGTCGAAAATCGAGGAAAGAATCCAGTTATGAGTGTAGCCGTATGAGATCTTGAACTTGGAGTGATGTATATTTAAATTTGTTTTCGGCAATAATCGTAGAGGAAACTTTACAAGCAATTTGGAAAATATGTTTGATATTTACATGTTCCATATTCATTTGTTCACATCTGTTTAACTCCTCGATAGATTCTGCTGGTTTGCAGGGTTAAAATAATTTGGAACGCACTAGTCGGCACTCCGACCCTGAACCAACCACCAGGGATCAAGGTCGCGA